AACCTAAACTCATCTCCCACCTTAATTTCACTATCCTTATATTTTAAAAATAATAAATCTCCTATTGCTAAATGTTTTTGAATTATTTTTAAAAGAGTGTCATTATACTGAACCTCGGTTTGATATATTTTATTATAAACTAGTTGGAAGCGGGAAAGGATTTGCTGTTGTTGGGAGAGAGGAGGGAGGGAGAGGGGGAAATTTTTGAGTTCGGTTTTGGTTAAACTTTTAAAAATTGTTCCTTGCATCAGAAGATTTAAATTTTTCTTTTGCTGACACAATAAATAATATAAATAATTAGGAGCAACTTTGTCTAGTTTGGGTTCTAAAAGAAAAACTTGTTGATTACATGCTAGACCAGAAGTTTTGGGATAAAAGGCTATTGCTTCGGAAACATTACAGAGCAAAATTGAATTTTCGGTTGTTAAAGGTAAACCGCATTCTTTAACTGCTTCCTCAGTAATAAATTTTTTTGGAGTAAGGGTTTGATTAGAAATTTCAGTTTGAGTATGCCAAGGAATAGTTCCATTTTCTCAATATTTTTTTTCTTGGGTAGAGGGAGTTTTTCCAGAACTAATTTCGCAAATTTCAGAAAGTTTATATTTTTTTATCTCTTGTTCCATTATTTTAATTTTTTACCCCAAAAAATACTTCAAAAGTAGTAAATCTTTGATTTTACGATGTAAATCTTTGATTTTCGCGAGGGGGGAATTAAGCAGAGTTAGGAAGCGGGTTTGAATGGTGGGATTGGAGACTCAAATTGTTTTTAAATTAAGTAAATCAAAACCTCGTATATGATTAATTACACTAAGACTTGAATAAGGAGCAAAATTAGTTATTCGCATTGCAAAAAAGAGGGTGGCATTTTGCAATTCTTTTTCACCAACAAAGTTTAATATATTATCTCCAAGTAAATAATCCGTAGTTCGGTTTCAAACCATTTTTGACTTACCAAGGTTTACATGAGAAATTAACATAGAATTTACTTGAGCGAATTTAAGTTTATATTCTTTTCACGCCTTTTCTGTAATATGGTTTGTTGCAGGGGTAAGATTAGTTAAAAAATAAAGATTGGTTAGAACTCCGCTATTTATCCATTTAATCGTGCCGTTCTCTCAATATTCTTTGATTTTAGTTGCTGGTGTTTTCCCCCTCACTAACCTAAACTCATCTCCCACCTTAATTTCACTATCCTTATATTTTAAAAATAATAAATCTCCTATTGCTAAATGTTTTTGAATTATTTTTAAAAGAGTGTCATTATACTGAACCTCGGTTTGATATATTTTATTATAAACTAGTTGGAAGCGGGAAAGGATTTGCTGTTGTTGGGAGAGAGGAGGGAGGGAGAGGGGGAAATTTTTGAGTTCGGTTTTGGTTAAAAACTTTTGCACGCTACCACTTCGCAGGAATTTTAATTTCTTATGTCGGCTTAATAATCAATAGTAAAGATAATTAGGTATTATTAAATCTGTTCGTGGTTCTATAATTATAACCCCTGGTCCTCCCCCATAGCAACTTGCTCCAGCTTTTCCTGAGTAAAAAGGAAAACATTCCAAAGTAAAAAATAGTAAAGAATTGCTAGTAGTTGAGGGTTGTTTATTTTCTTCTACTGCTAATTGAGTAATACGTCTTTCAGTTCTAAGTTTTTCTTTAATTATGTCTTTTCCTTGATATCAATTAATACAATCGCATTTCTCCTCATGATTACACCAATATTCTTGCTTTTTCGTGCTGGGAGTTTTACCGGAACGCAAGGAGCAGATTTGACTTAATTGATAATTTTTCCAATCATCTCTAAGAAATAATTCGTTTACTTTGTTCATTATTAGTTTACTACTCATCGCTTTCGATTTCTTTTTTTATGTCGGCTAATAATTTTTTTAATTCTTGGTGATATTTATCTTGTTCGGTTATTAAATCTTCTAATTCACTAGTAGTTTCTAGTAATTTTTTATCTATTTCTTCGGGAGTTAATTCAATTTCATTTTGGGACAAATAACGAGTTGGAACTAAAATATAGTTTTTTTCCCTAATTTCTGTGGGGAAAACTACCCGAGCAGGAATAATAGTTGATTTTTCAATGGAGCCTTTTTGATGGAATTCTTGATATATTCGCGATACATTTTTAATTTCTTTCTCGGTCAATCTCCTTTCACTACTGCTTACTTTTTCGCCAAACTCATCAGACGAAATATCAATCATGAGAATACCATTATTTTCCCTTCCCTTCCGGAGTATCCACAAACAAGGGGCAATTTGAGTAGAGTAAAAAAGGTTGCTCGGGAGAGTAATAATAGCATCCACTAAATTATTTTCGACTAATCTTTGACGAATGCTGGCGGCCTTTTTATTTAACCCCGATAAAGTTCCATTAGCCATAATTATAGCAGCAACTCCCTTTTCTTTTAACTTAAAAAGACAATGCTGAATTCAAGCGAAATTAGCATCATTTTTGGGTGGTATTCCATAAACTCATCGCGGGTCATCTTCTTTTCAACAGTAGTCAGAGATATTGAAAGGGGGATTGGTAATAACATAATCGGCTTTTTTTTGGGGGTGTAAATCCTCTTTAAAAGTGTCTTCGGCTCGCTCCCCTAATTTAGGATTGAGACCATGCAAAAGCAGATTCATACGGGCTAATTTTCAAGTGCTATCATCGATTTCTTGACCCAAACAAAGGGGAGGATAAACATTATTACCTTTTTTATTTTTAGTAATGAATTCTTGGCTTTGAATAAACATTCCACCACTACCGCAACAAGGGTCATAAATTACTACCTCATAGTCTTTTTGGGGAAAAGGTTGCAAAATATTTACTAATAATTGCACTAGTTGAGCAGGGGTGTAAAATTCACCGCCGGTTCGGCCACTACTGGAGGCAAATCATTGGAGAAAAAATTGGTAGGTATTACCTAAATAATCCATTTGTGATTGGGGAGCAAGTTTAGCAAAAAAATTATCGAAATCATTAACAATAGTAGATAATTTTTGAAAATCTAGATTTTGGCTAAGAAAGGTTCCTTTGTGAGTTAAATTCTGATATTCTTTGTCTGTTTGTTCAATTTTTTCGAGAGCTTGGTAAATAGTTTGATTTAAATTATTTCGCTGACAGTTAGCCAAAATAGTTTCTCAGCGGCTTTCTTTTTCTAATCACAAATCGTAATAATCACTGTCTTCTTGATGTTTAGCGGAAATCCGAGCTTTTTGTTGCTCAAACTGGCGGTTAATAGCCAGTAAAAAAATTAAGTCAAAACAAATCTCTTTGAATTTATGCAAGTCCATACTTCCTCTTTGTCGATCTAGTAATTTCCAAAGGTTTTGGTAAAAGTTGTTATCCATAAATATTTTTTATTGTTTAGGTGATATTTTTTCTAAATAATATTTGCTGGAAAAATAATTTTCTATTATCTTAATTATGCTTTCCCTTTTTTCCTGTTTTAATCCTTCTCCAAAGAATTTTTCTGCGTATTCATTAATTTCTTTCCGTCCTTCCCGTCTTTTTTCTTTCCTTTGACTTCAATCAGGAATAGCTTGATTTAGTTGCAGAAAAAAATTTACTACCGAAGTAACGAATTCCTGGTTATTGTTTTTATCAGAAGGTAATGCTTGAACAATTTGCCTAGTTAGAGGATAATGAGTATTTTTTGTTATTTCTCGTTTAATCTCTTCGTTGCTTTTGGCTAGTATTCCGGCTAATTCAGTCAAGTAGCCGTTTAATTCTTCAATATTTATTTTTTTTTGCTGGTATTCTTCTTGGGCGGTGGTTAACTTGTTTTCCCATTCTTCACTCGGTAGTCCGCAATCTTCTCTTTCACTAATCATTTGCCGAATTCTCTCTTCTTGCTGATTTTTATAGACAAAAGGAGTTTGAGAGGGATTAATTTGATCCGGGATAATGAATATTTCAACTTGGGTAAAATCAAAACCTTTTATTGTTGTGCCATCTTTTCCCCCCTGCACTATTCCCCCGCCTCCTCCTGGCAATCTTTTTCTCCTTGGTCTGCATGTGTTAGCTAATTTGAAACATCATTTAATAAATTCTAAGTCATTTTTTTCTTCTTTGCTTTGATTATACCAGCGGGAAGTTAATATTTGCCGGAGATTTTTGGTCTCCGAATAGAATTCTTCTCTTTCTTCTTCATTTTTTTGATAACAATGATTAAGAACTTTTTTAGTAAAGTCAAAATCTTGGATTTTTTGTCGTTCAAAAAGGTTCTGGTAAAGTTCAGTTCGGGAAGAAAAACCACTTAAAAAGTTTTCTATTTTAGTTCAAAAAGGTTGAAGTTGTGGTGGATCGGTTTTGATAATCCCACCACTTTTTCCGACATATTTTGCTAAGGTTTCTTCTAAAACTTCTTTGTTATCAGCCAAGTCAATCACAAAACCCCAATCTTTATGAGGATGTTTTCGATTGACTCGGGAAATTTTTTGAAAAAGGCGATGCGGAGAATTAATTTTCTGGTCCAAATAAATTCTTTGTAAACTTTCCAAATTAAAACCAGTGGTTAGTTTATCGACCACAATAGCAATATTAACCTCAGGAGTATTTTTAAACTGGTGAATACTATCTTTTTCTTCTTTTTCCTCCTGGGCACTAGTAATTAAACAAACATTATTTTGAAATTGAGGGTCTTGGGATAGATATTGATAAAATTCGCGGGCAGCAGGAATACTTTGAGCAATATACATTACTTTTGGTTTTTGACTGTTTAGTCGATTATTGAGGGAAAAATTTTCGTAATCTTTTTTAAAAAATTCCCCCTTAGTTTGTAAACTTGGTAAAACGCTTTTCAAATGAAAAGAATTTTTTTTAATTTTATTTAAGTCTAAATATTGGTAAATTTCATAAACTATCCTGACGATAACTTCATCCTGTAAAGCATCATCCATCGAATAACTATGGATTATATTTGGATAGGTTTCTTCTTTAGGAGTAGCCGTAAACCCAAACAAAAAGGCTTCGGGTAAAGTTTTACGCATTTCTAAAGCCCAACTTAAATTGTCTTCCTCTCCGATTTCTAAGTTTTGAGAACGGTGATATTCATCGATAAAAATAAATAATCCTTTTGAGTTGGAAAAGGTTGGTAGTGCTTGAAATTCTCGAATTTGAAATTTTTGAATCAAAACAAAGATTATTTTTCCTAAGTTGGGTTTGGCCAAATTTTCCCTTAAATCCCTTATGCTAGTAATGACAATAAACTCTTGGGGGGTAAAAAAAACATCTTCATAATCTTGAAATCGGTCTAGCAATTGGAGGTCTAATTCTTGCCGGTCAGTGATGACAATTATGGTGCACTGTTGATATTCTTGACGTAATTTTTTGGTTAAGAACACCATGGTATCAGATTTGCCACTGCCGGTGGTGTGAGCCACTATTCCTTCTTTTATTTTATGCTGTGAAACAACTTTCAATATTTCTTGCAAGCAAGCATATTGGTGATAGCGAATAATTCTTTTGTTTTTATTCTTAGTAAAAACTAGAAAATTTTCTAAAATGTCGCAAAAAACGGCGGGAAAGAAAATGTTATGATGATATTTTTCTCAGCGTCAAGGGGTATAGTTAAATAATTCGCTTTTTTTGGTAGTCGTGCCAATTAAGTAGTCTCGACCATTACTTAAAACATTAAAAGCATTAAAACGAAAAAGTTGAGGAAGTTCTCTTTTGTATTTTTCAATACTACCACCGTTCCCTTGGTGGTAAGCATCTTCTTTTCAGTCATTCTTGCCCCAATCCTTAAATTCACAAACTACTAATGGTAAATAATTAACAAATAAAACCAAATCCGGATAAAAACGGGTACCATGCTGATTACAAAGAGGGAAATAGGGTGAAGAAAGATAACGAAATTTATTATTTTCTGGTTGCTGAAAATCGATTAGTTGGACTCAATGAACTTCTCCATTAGTATGAATGGTTATTCCAGAGCGAAGATAATTCAAAAACTGTTGATTTTCAAGGTGAGGGTCAAGTAATTTTTCAATAACCTGGTCGATTACATTATTAGTTAAAAAGGGATTAATTTCTTGGAGTTGCTTAAATAATTTTCCTCGGTCAAGAACTTCTTGGTTGTTGTTTCTCTGAAAATTGTCAAAATAAAATCAATTTAATTCTTTTAACTTTTCGAGAAAGGAAAAGACTATTTCTTTTTCTTTGGGGACAGTCATATATTATTTTTTTGGTTAGGGGGTTGGTCGGAGAAATACTTCAAAAGTAGTAAATCTTTGATTTTACGATGTAAATCTTTGATTTTCGCGAGGGGGGAATTGAGGAGGAGAAGGAGGTGTGCTTGGGCAGATTTATTAATTATTCAATCAATTTTTAAATTCATTAACTCTGAACCTCGCAAATGATTAATAATGCTTCCACTCGCATACTTTTTAAAATTGATTTGTCGCAAAGCAAAAAATAACGTAGAATTTTTGTAAACATCCGTTCCTAAGAGTTGCCAAACATGTGTTCCTAAGAGTTGCCAAACATGTGTTCCTGCGGTTGAGTGTTTCATAACTCAAACTATTTTGCTAGGGTCAAGGTCAATATCTGAAAGGAGAACAGTTTGGG